TTTTTGGCAAAAAGATATATTGCTGTAGGAGTGCATGTGTGGCTGAATCTAAAATCAATGTTAATTGCTTTGAAAGTTTAAGGACAGGTCATGCTGTCCATAATGCCTATGGTAGACTAGCCTGGTTTCCTTTTTCCTGAATGGGTGTGCAGATCAGTTCCTAGGCATGTGGTTAGAATTGCTAGCGCACTTCCATTGCCAACATCTTTTACTTCATTCATTGTTTTGTTGTAGAGGCTTCTCATTAACTTCTCTCTGCTTGGCACATCAAAACCAGGGCTCTCATCCTAAACCACAGCAACACTGGGAATCAAACAATAGTCCTTGACATCAGACTCCTAGACTCCTAAAGCATTGTGCCAGCAAATGATGTCAGCCACTTACTCAGTTTTATCCATTATCAAGGTATTGGTTCAAACATCCTTGATAATGGTCATTCAACTTCATTTTTTTCTTACGCATCATAGAGAAATAGCATCTATTGACAAGCTAATTGAAAAAAATGTGTTTCTTGGAATCAATAAGTGGCATTTCATGCTGAAGAAAAAATATATTGTAGTTCAACTGGTCAAGATAAACTTTTCCAAGCAATTTACGATAAGCAATGACAAGCACAAATGATCAAATGATGGGAAAAGACTGGAGAGCAATAATCCAGTGGGAGTTTCAGGGCATATGAGACTTCCATTTAAGTAACTTGTTTCCACTAAAAAATACTGACATGCCAGTCTTGGTTACAGTTGAAGTTGCCTTTTGCTCAGGAGAGGCTTACAATATATTGCAACTGAGAATTTCCCCATTCCACTCTACAGTTAGTCTTCAGCTCTGATCTGAGGATTGGCCCACATTTAAAGTATATTTTACTTTTCATGCCCATGTTAAAACTGACTAATTTCCTGAGGCTTTCAATAAGAGTGTACAGTTAGTCCCAGTGCTGATAACTGCTTTTTGGATATGGACCTTGAGCTTGAATCAGGAGCTGGATCCAACTTGCTTCAAGGACAAGTGTGTTTAATCTGGGTCCAAAATTTGTAGTTCACTCACTGATTCTTTCCAAACCAAAGTTTAGAGCAAGGACTTTGTTTGAGATCATCTCTGTTGGTATGCAAAAGGAATAACATCTAAAATTATACCCAAGTATTTCCTGAACATCCAAAGACCTCAGTTTCTGGTCTTTATTTCACACTGGAATAACTGTTGACCTCCAGAGAGCTATTCCTGATATTTACCAATCTGAGAAAAAAGTTTCTGTCCAAGAGCACTAAAACTAAGAGCTTAGGAAATGAGTATCTGCTTTACCATGTGCATACCCAGGTATTTCAAAGTACCAAGCACTTAGTACGTTAAACCAGAATGATAGTAAGTAGCAGAAGATAGTATGGGTGACTGATCTGATTATCTTTCTAGTTGGTGTGGTGTGAGCACCTGTTCACACTGCAGAAGCAGATGGCTGCTAGTAACACAGAATGGTTGTTTGCATTGGTGGATCCAGGATTTTAAAAAGGGGGTGTGAGTGTAGCAACTTACACTTCTGGGGTGGTTCACTCCCCTGTTCCCAGTTTGCCCCATGCACAAGGTGGGGGGTGGCAGCCAGACAGATTTTTAAGTCCCCAAATCAGGTAGTGCCCGCCCCCCTGCTCTCAGCACCCTTTCCCGTCTCCTCCATGCTCAGTGGCACCTCCCCTCCTCTCCAATTCCCCCCCACACTACTTACACCTCCGGTTGCTTGTTGCCTCTGTCCCCACTGCTCTTGCCCTGCTCTAGCTGGGGCTGAAGGGAGTGGCTGTGCAAAGAAGTGGGCTCAGCAGGGGCAGCACTGGTGGCAGGCAGATTCCCCCTCCATGAGGCTGCTCCCAGACCAGCAGGGAACACCAAGGGGGACTGGGCAGGGAGATGGAACAAAACATGTGGCTGCTGCCACTATCCCCGCTGAGCCCAGCTCCCTATGCAGCCCAGCTGCAGCAAGGCAAAAGTAACTCTGGAGGTCTCACCAACCCCTGGGTCATCTGGGGCCAGCAGTAGCAACAGGAAGGGAAGAGGGAGGAGCTGCTAATCATGGAGGGAAAGGGAGGAGGTACCAAGAGGCAAGATTCTTACCTGCTTCAGGGACTTAAAAATCCCCAGCTGCTTCTCCCACACCTGAAATAGGGGACTGTGCCACTGCACCCCTCTGGATTTGCTCTTGACTGTTAGTAATATCTTATAAGGCCCAATGCTTATTTTGTAGTGTTTTGCATTGATTGAAGATATAGAAGAGGAAGCAGTTCATTCATCACTAGAGAACAGAGAATTTCTCTTCAAAAGTGACTGCAAAGAAGATATAGAAATTTACTATCATAATGGCCTAGGAGAGACAACTGCAGTATGTAACTTTGTGACCTCTTCTATGACCGAAGGAATTTGCTTCTGGTCTTATTTAATTCACAGATTAAATATAAATGAAGGTTCCCACTGGCTTTCCCTGACACAGATTTCTTAGCTGTGTAATTCAGCAGCTGGTGCAGCCACAGTATAATGCTCACCTCTGCATGTAGGCAGGAAACCTCTGCTTGTAGGGTTTGTTCAGTTGGTGTAAGTCCTGGCTTGCTCCTGTATACACTTTGGGATAAATCTCTATTGATTACTAATCTGAGACTAGTCTCAAGCATAAAGAAGGCCTTTCTGTTCAGGAGGATTAAAGGAATAAGCACTGAGCTATAGGAGAGAAGAATGGTTTGGTGAAGGGATTAAACTCATATGGGGGAGTTGAGCAATGAATGTAGGTAAAGACTATATTTCAACAACACTATGGGAATATACAGTATTTAGTGACACTAAACTTGATTAAACTGAGAAAATCTCCCATAAGGAATAGCACCTGACATTTGAAATTATATTGGACTACACCAGGAAGCTATAATATTGATGTCACGTAATGGACCAGTTGGGCAATAGAACCTTTCCATATCTAGTTTCCAGGACCCCCTCTACACATTATAGGTATTGCACAATTACCTGGTTAATAGTGCAATTACCTTAAGACCAGCTACACATGCACAGTAGCTATCACACCATAAAAAGCTCCAACCAGTCATGGGCGACTGGTGCCTCCCAAGTCTTGGGGGCACCAGATTGCTGGGGGAGAGGGGGGTCCTCCAGCAGCCAATTGCCAAGCCCGGAACCACCGGTGGTGAAACCGGAAGTGCACTTCCATTGGCACTTCTGGTTTCGCAGCTGGTGCTTCCAGGGGGTTCACGGGGGGTGGATGTGCACCTCCACCTCTCAGGAGGTGGATGTGCACCCGCGTACACTCCCTACGCGTTGCCAATGCAACCAGTTATAATGTTAGACCTTGAAAATGCCTACTAACTTTATAGTTGATGGGCCTCCCAACCTCAGGGGTGCATCAGGCCCAGCTGGGGCTGCAAGTCCTGCAATTGAGGGGACTGTCACCCCAGCAGCTGCCAACTCTGGGTCCCAGAAGCACTAGGACTTAGAGTCCTGCAGCTATGGACACTGGGTGCCAGGTCCCAGTTGGGATCCTGGCAACCAAGGGATGTGGCTAATCCAGGGGTGCATGAAACCGCCATGGCCTGGGAGATCATGGCAGTCGCAATCCCCCAGTCCTGGGGGTTTCCTGTACCCATGAGGCTAGGAGATCCTAATCTCAACTCAGGGGGCTGCCAGCAGAGCTTGCTTCTTGCTAGTGCAGGGGGAGCCCAGGATTGGGCTTCCCCTGCACTAGCAATATGATGTGATGGGATCTAATGTCCAATCCCACAATCACACCTCCTGACATGCATGTGTGGCTTGGTAGGAGACATAATTATGTGGATCACGCATTAGATCATCATGCCTTTACCTGCATGTGTAGAGGGGCCCAGGATATAGTGGAAACCAACCAAGGTAGGTAAGTAATATACTACATATAATGCCACTCCGTCCCATTTACAAAAGCATACCCAATCAAGCAGTAACAGGTGTTAAAAGCCATTCCTCAATAAATAACCTGCAGAAAATCACATTCAGTTAAATCACAAACTGACGTCACTGTATGGTGAATATTCTAATTTGCCCTGGTTATGAATAATGTAGTTTGATATTTACACATCTGACTGATCTGCATTTCTTTCCATGGTTATGCTTCTACTTGGAAAATACTATATTTACAGCAGCTTTTTATAGAGTACAGTCAATGAAAGTAGAATACCAAACACTTTCAGCTATGCTACATCTGAGAAACCCAAGTACAGGGCTGCATTAATATTTAAACATAATTGGAAATATGTCCAGGTCCAGTGCAATGAAAGAGGACTCCTAGAGTGATCAATAGTAGGAAAAGGGAATTTTAAACTTTGGAACTGTCTGGGGTGACATGAGGGTGGAAGCCAGAAGGGAACTGAAAGTGAGTATTAGCTGGACATAAGAAAAAGGGACAAAAAGAATAGCAAGAGGATGTAAAAAAAGTGAAAGTGAACAGGGAAGAAAAGGAGTGGTTTACATAAACAAGAAACCTAGGAAGAACATGTACAAGGTATAGAGGAGTGTGTTTAGTTTGGCAATGTGTTTAGTTTGGACCTTAAATCACAAGTTAGCCCTTAGCAAGCAACATTGTCTACTAACTGGATTTGCTCTATACTCTGACTTAAGGACAATGTGCATCTGTATAATAAATCCTTTAAGAAAAAAAGTACAGGCAACCTCTGCTTAACGCAATTTCACTTAGCGCTATTTTGCAATAGCACTCATTTAATCATTACCTGATTTCACTTAGCGCTGACCCAGTTTCATTATAGCAGTCAGTGAAGCAACAGCGGTGACAAGAAATGGTGAGTGGCAGCAAGTGGGCGGGCAGGCATGAGCACAGGGCCCACACTGGTGCCACAGGGCCAGAGCCAGCAGGGGCCCAGAGCCGGGCAGCAGGAGCATGGGGCCCAGACTGGCACATGGTGCCAGAGCAGCCGGCGGGCAGCCAGATGGGAAGAAGCAGCAGCAGCAAGAAGCAGTGAGTGGGGGGGGCAGGTGTGAGTGCAGGGCCTCCACCTGTGCCCAGGGCCAGGGCCGGTGGGGGCTCAGGGCAGAGCAGCAGGAGCGTGGGGTGTGTGCTGGCATGTGGGACCGGAGTGGCCAGCAGGCAGGTGGAGAGGTGAGGAGAGGTGGCGGTGGTGGCAAGAAGCTGTGGCAACAAGCGGTGGTAACTAATTATTCCATTTACATTCGTTCCTATGGGGAAATGGGTTTTGCTTAGTGCAGTTCTGCTTAACACTCTGTTTTTCCAGAACCAATTAAGAGCGTTAAGCAGGGGTTGCCTGTAGTGCTTTTGCCAGAGCAAATATTGCCTGCTAATCCATGCAGCTCCACACTTAGCCAGAACCAATTATCTCTCCTGTACTTGCAGGATTCTGCCCTGAGCTGTGGCTACACTAATGGAGTAGAAAACTTTTGGCATTAACCTAGAAGAAACTGTGTTGTGCCAGGTGCACAGAAGGAAGAAGGCTGTGCATTTGACCATATGGGCTAGATACAGGCAGTCAAAATGCCAGATTCATAGATGTTAGGGTCGGAAGGGACCTCAATAGATCATCAAGTCTGACCCCCTGCATAGGCAGGAAAGAG